CAGTAATGACGTTTCCGTGAACGTAGCGCAGAGTACGCTTTCGAATGTTGTGTCGGAAATTATAGAAGAAATGAACGATAAAATTCTATTATGTAATATTTTGTCCTCATTAAATAATGACAATGATACCAATAAATTTGTTATGTTTTAATGTACTTTTATTATGAATGTTTGCCGATTATTTCTTCCATAATTAGCTGAACTCAAAACAATAGCAAACATTAAACATCAGAATGGCACATTTCCTCCTCAGTAAATTCGTAAATCTCTTAAGTGACTCGTAATCGACGTATGCATTTAGCTAAATGTATGATACACGCGTAGGTCACTGTCTCATCAATAGTTGCTTAGTTTGTTAATTCATGAAAAAAAGAACCGACTTTTATCAATCGTCGGTTTTGTCGCGAATAAGAGTTAATTTTTAAATACCCTTTTTAATATAGTATATATTTTTAATTGACATGAGCAGTCCTTGTCATTTCTAGTTCTAATTCTAGTCAGGGTTGTGCACACATACTTTACAATCCGCCATTGATATTACCTTCGCTCGTGTTGAACCTCTCCAACTTACACTTTCACTTGATAAGCCTAAGTGAGTGGTTTTTTAAAAAAAGAAGACCCTGTTGTTTCATTTCTCATATCTGGTTCTACTATACCCTTTATCAAAACGTTTGATTTTTTAGGCTTGTTTCTACACCCGAAACTTTCTTCTACTGCTCAAATTATCAAACAAATAGACAAAATTATCAAATAATATTTCCAACTATCTAACTTACTGAAATCCATTCTTGGGGTTCGATCCCTTCTGCACAACTAAACTCTAAGACCAAAAGAGCTTGCCGGCTCTTACTGGGCATTTCAAAAAAAAATCTTCTGAAATTATGCAGAATTCAATAAAAATGTCATCGCATAGCATAATTGGATTATCGGAGGGGTTTTAAAGTGTGTCATATTTTGTTGTCTTTTATTTTACCATTTTTACCATGTGTTAAAACTGGGACACACTTTAAGTGGATGTACAATCGATGCATTACAATACGCATATCCCGAAGAAACCCGAAGAACTCGTTTAGCGTTGGAAGAACTTAGTTAGTAGATGTGTTTTTGATATCCATAATAACTAAAATGTGATCATTTGGATTAATGCTTCTGAAAAAGCACTACTTTGATCCAAACATAAAGTTCTATTTGCATCGGTTCTATGAAATCGTAGTTGTGTTCGCCTGCTTTGGCTTCACCCCGATGTTTACTGCACATTCGGTACTGACGTTAGTATAACCTTCAACGAAACTCCGCATCCTTTGAAACTATCTCCCTTCTCTATAAAACAACCATTAATTGAATTATTCTGAATCACTTAATTTACAAAACTAATTTGAAGTCTTTTTTAAAAAAAATATTATTTCTATTATATGAGAGCAAACAAATAAAATAATTATATTCGGTCATGATCAGATCTTTTATACCCGCCTTCGTTATCCTAAAAAAAGACAAAAGAGAAATTAAAGAATTAAACTTTCATGCTTTATAATATAGAGTGGGCGCATCTGATTTGTACTATTTTCAAAATAAAAGTTTTTCACATAGGCATTGTAGAGATGCCCTTGAAAAAGTTTAAGTCACTTCCAAATTTTTTGCAAATTTGTAGGTAATGTCTTCACTTTCGGTAACGGGAGAATGTGTATCACAAAAGTTACGCAGACGGACGGATGGACGGACGGATGGACGGATGAACCGACGGACATGTTTATATGCATTTCAAATTGGAAAGTGGCCAAGAATTTATGTACTTTATGGGGTTTTTGCAGATTGTTCACGCGCCTTATATGATACACTATAGTATTGGGTGGGCGCGGTCAATTTTTCTCATCTATAGGTGCCACATCATCGCCCAAAGAATATGCATTCAAATTTTTGTACAGTTATCTGCTGTAGTTTATGAGTAACGAGCAAACAACCAATTTTTATTTCTTCTTGGAAAACAAAGGTGTTCTCAGTTCACATGGTCTGTCGGCGTGTCCCTCCATTGATTTCATTTTCAATATAAATCTGCGCGCAAGAAATTCCAATGTTTGTGGAAATTTAAAGACGATTGCTTTATTGTTACAGTCAAGCGAATCTTTAGAACAGGCATTACACAGACAGACAGACGGACATGCTTAAATCGGTTTAGGATTTGATGCTGATCAAGAATATACATTCTTTGTGGGGTCTCCGATACTTTCTTCTTGGCGTCGCCAACGTTTTGACAAAATGAATATACCCTTCATCCTTCGTTGATGGGTATAAAAATAATTAATCTGTTCTGCGTGCCTTCTCCTCTCAACAAGTTTACTACTTTTTGCGTGTATTTTATTAAACTAACAATGTCACCTTTAAAAGGGATAACATAAGTCGTCATATATATGAATAAAACAAAACCTATTTAATAACACTGAGCAAAGGTCATTTAGATTGATATAAAAAAAAATAAAAAAAAAGTGATTGTTGATAAAAAAATCAAATGTAATTTGCTTTCTCCTATGTCGTAGATAATTTTATCTTGCGTGACTGCTAGCTGGTGTATTATCCCCATAAATATATTTATATGAGTATATAATCTAAAAAGTACTGAGCCTGTTAAGGGGGAAATATCCTCACCTTTGAACAATCCCTGATTTTTGGCAGCGCTCGATCGCCACCATTACTAATTATCACTTCGCCTTGTGGGCATAGATGTTGAGATTCTTCCAGATTCCTTAGCTCCATTGCTAATTATTCCAACAAAGAGACGATGTTAAATTCACAAACTTGTTCTAACTTTTGTTTAATACCTTGACGTGTTTTTGTTAAGCAGGCCGTATGTTGCTTAACTTTCTTTTTTTTTACAATTCTATGGATGTTGATTTATTGTTTGGAAGTGCGAAAATAATCCAAAAGTTGTAATATTTTTTTATTAAACAAATTTAATGTAATCTTGACATAGTTATGTTCATGATTTCAGTTGTATTAAGTATTTAAAATAACATTTTTTCATTTCCTTTGGTATTCAATTTATTTGCATTGTTTATGTTGTCAGCTTTCTTTACAATACGTAATGTTATCGTAAAAACGCGGAAAATACATGCTTCCCGACTGGGAGCTTAAAGTAGACTAGACTATTTCAGCTATTTTATATCAATTGTGTTAGTTAAGTGTTCTTCTTCTTACGCTTTTTATATTCGATTCGTACGAAGCTTTTTATAAAACGCAAAAACGAAAATAAATACATGCGATGTGACTGATGTGTGACCAATATTGAATTTAGAATTAGAATTGTAAGAACAAATTTGAGTTGATATAAAGAATTGGAAATCTGAAGCTAATATTTTTCAATAGTCTTAATGTGGAGGAAAGTTTTTAATGTGGCTGACGCGCATTTACGCAAAAGCAGCATTGATTTAATCCAATTCGCAAAAAAACACAAGACATCAGATTCTTTTCATGATACTACCCATACCATCATACCATCATACATGCTGATGGTCATACTTTAGTCTTTTCATACCGAAGTCTTTAAATCATACTTATGTGTTTTCATACCGAGGTTTTTGTTTACACCGTCATGCTCAAGTCTTATGATACCATCATAATCATATCCAAGTCTTTTCATACCAATGTCTTTGATTGTACCATCATACCCAAGTCTTTTCATACCACACTCTTTGATTGTACCATCATACTCACGCCGTTTCATATCAAAGTCTCTAAATCATACTTAGGCCGTTTCATACCAAACGCTTTGATTACACCGTCAAACTCATATGCTTTCATACCAAAGGCTTTGATTAGACCATCATAATCATATCTTTTCATACTAAAGTCCTTCACTTCAAACCACTTAAAATCACATAAAACGTGGGCAATTTTCCAGTTTGCTTTACTTAAAAAAGTGCAGTAATGTAATATATAAAGACCGAAAATTGCCGATCTCTTTTCAACAGATATTCATAGTTCAAAAAAAATTGTCGAAAAAAAAAAATAGCGTGGTTTTGGTTAATATGCATTCATCTCCCCTTGTACGTCTCCTCAATAGTTTTATACAATTTTTATAGGCGTGGCATTCGATTTTACCCTATTTTCAAAAATAAAATGATAATTCTTTCCATATATAACTTATACAAGTGCTTGAAATATAATATATAATCTTTTTTATATAAATGTATCAAAAATATGCATTCATCACCCCTTGTACGTCTCCTCAATAGTTTTATACAATTTTTGTAGGCGTGGTATTCGATTTTACCCTATTTTCAAAAATAAAATGATAATTCTTTCCATATATAACTTATACAAGTGTTTGAAATATAATATATAATCTTTTTTATACAAATGTATCAAAAATATGCATTCATCTCCCCTTGTACGTCTCCTCAATAGTTTTATACAATTTTTATAGGCGTGGCATTCGATTTTACCCTATTTTCAAAAATAAAATGATAATTCCTTCTATATATAACTTATATAAGTGCTTGAAATATAATATATAATCTTTTTTATATAAATGTATCAAAAATATGCAACATTACACGTTATGTTTAAAGAAATATTCAGTAAGAAAATGCTCGCTGGAGAAATTCCTCAATTCTTCTACACAAATCGTTCACTCAGAAGCATAAAAAATAAAAACTATGTTCTTGCGCTCTCCATTGCAAAATTGATATAAATTTAACATAACAGCGGAGAACGGAGAGAGTTTAATCAGAGAGTAAAAGAGAATATAAAAATATTTTCGTCTGCAAGCCAAGAACATAACATACTAACAGGAGTGCAAGGCTGATAAAAAAAAACGAAGCAGAAACAAAATTGACGATATTAAGTACAACACTCATTAAAAACAATAAAAGCCAACAGTATAATGTTATTGCCATTTTTTGAGTATTCGAGTGTGCATGACCGACTAGCACTGTCAAAGTGAAGATGCAAAACAATCAAACCAGCCTCTTTAACAGTATGTTGGTGGTTGGCAAAGGCGCGAGGTGTGATTAATAATGAGATGAAATGAAAGCAAAAAAATAAATAAATCATTGAAAATATTAAAAAATATTCAAAATTTACCAATGAATTTAAAAATAAAGATTTTAAATATTTTGAAACAAATTGTAACCGAAAGTGAAAATGTTAAGTGGAATATTTCCAGCAACCGTTAAATGAACAAACAAGGAAACAACGATTTTAAAGTTGAAGCTTGCAAGTGTGGCCTTGGAATGTTTCTTTTTCTATTTTGGGCAAAAATATATATAAAATATATTTCGGAACGTAAAAAATATGAAATTACTATAAAATGAAAATAAAATTATTATTAAAATTCTGTTACCTTTTAAAATATGGGTTGAAATATATAAACACCAAATTTAAGAAACGTTCGAACTAATCTGTAAGCACATCTTAAAGGGATATGTATATGACAACAAAAAAATATGTTGATGAAATTTTTCGCGCATTACAATCACGTTACGGATTTTTATATGGCGTGTTCCCGTCGTTACTTCTTTTCTTTAATCCATTCCATCGATTTTCAAAGATTATTGCTTATGTGTTTTACACGCTCGAGTTTAACTAAAAGCAGCGCGGCTATAAAACAGCTTTTAACTTTCTTTCTTAATTTTGTTTAATCCTTCATTTAATCATATACCTATGATTTTGAAAATTATTATTATTAGTTTTTTCCCTAATATTTTATTGCCACAACCTGATTTGTACTATTACTTATTTTTGGTTTTCTATCTTTCTCTTTCACGCGAGGGTGACATGTCCATGAAGTAATTCTGTTTAGACGTTTGCGTAGATGTGTGGAATATGTACGTATATACGCATAAAAAAAAATGCTGCAAAATTCCTTAAATCTATAATGAGTGATAAAAATGGTACAAAGTATAATGGTACTAAATTGCTAATATTTATAAAGAAATCAAACTGTTAGATCTTTCGATTTAAAACAAGAACTGAAATTATTTTACAAAGAAACTTAAGAATGGTAACTATAGATACTGGAGAGAAATTTTTTTACACAATTGATCAGAAAAAGATGTTAAAAATTAGCAACAAGGTTTTTCTCCTTAGAAATTATTCAAAGTAAGAACCACTAAATATAATTCTTGAGCGTTTTTAAGCCAGTGCCGCCGTAAGTAAGCTTTATGCCTAATCTAAGTCCCGTGTGATATCGACGCACCTAAAACTTGCCTTGTTAACTTGATCTTAAATTCATTTTTGAGTGTTTATTTTTCGGATCAGTTTTAGATTAGGAAAAGAGTATCTTCATATTTCTTTCACATTCTTAGCAGTTACCGTTTTTCATATTTTCAGCAGATTGCTAAACTAAATTTTCACTCATTATTCAGTCGAACCCCAATATGTCCGGAAATATTGTTGAATTGAACAAAAACAAAACACTCCAAACAACACTGATGATTTGTGATTTGGAAAAATTGTTACCCAATAATAATAATAGTAGATTATTTCCTCAGTTTTAATTGAATGAGAAATATCGCATATTTTCTAAGCTGCCAAATGATTGGTAGTTGACATCTCAATGAAAACCCCTTGCAAAGAGGACGCGGTCACATGACTGCAAAAAGATTTATGTAAATTTTTTATCGATAAACGTCTTAATCTCTCAGTTATTGTGCTATTAACAATTAGGGTTATTATGAGATGCTACATCATTTGTTTAGTTTTATCGAATAGAGTAAATAATATATGTGCTATACTAAGTTTTGACTTTGAATTTAAATTGTTCGCCTTTGGAGGGTCACAGAGTATATCAACTTAACGGAAAGCTTATATCCTTGATGAATTTTGTAAGGATAGGTGGAAAAATTTATTTTACTTCCCCAGATTGGCTGTGATTATAACATATGTTGAGTTGATTCCGGATACCCGCGGCTAAAAGACGACTTATGGCACATTAGTCGTTCTTACTTGTATTCAAAGAAATCGCTTTTACTTTTTCACCGTTCTTTATGAGGTTGTTTTAACATCATAGTTTTTGCCGACATTTTTAAAATATATTAAGTAATAATTTCGCGATGAATAATTTTAATTAGCGGCCAATACACAAATAAAGCAATTTAATAGGTGTAAGCTTATCGGACCGTTCTTGGTGCTGTTCTTCTTTTGATGTCATATGCGTAAATAAAACAGACTTTTTATTTCAAAACATGATTCTGAGTAAAATGCCCGTCCGTCTACCTGGCTATCCGCCTTGTATTCTTGTGTTGAACTTACATGTCGCCTTGACGTGCTGTTTGGTCAAGGAGAAACGCTGTAGAAAATGGTTTAGATCGAATCACTTTTTCGATCCATTCCCATGTTATTTCCATGTTATTAGATCGTGGCCTAATCTAAAATTTTTACTTAATTTTAGCGTAATTATTCAACGAGGTTAAGGTCACCACAAAAATATATACCCAAAGATAAAATTTTTCACGAAAATGTACTAAATTTCATCTTTTTTTCTTTATTTTTGCGATTGTCACTTTCCCATAAAGAAATACCTCTAGTTGACTCACTTTAGTGAAAGTGGCTATATGTAATGTAATGTAATGGTTATCTCCGGAAAGTGCTACTGAGAAAGAGTTTTTTATAGTTTTATTCATAGGTGTTTAAAGAACTCTTCCTACAAAAATTTTTTTAAATCTTTTTTTGAAGCTAAAAAGGGTTCAAATGGGTTAAATTGACGTGCTCGGCTGTCTTTTTTTTTTAATTTTAATTGAGTTTATTATTTCAAGAGTTTAAAAAAACCAGTAAAATTCTTCTATAAAATTTATTGGATTTGTTCAAGCAAGCAATATGTTTTAAAGATTGTCTATTCAACGGAACAAACCTATCTATAAAAGAATAATGATCGCCGTATAACGATCCCTTCGTAATCACAAAGCACTTTGAGTAAACCTCATAGCTTTGAGCGAGAACAGAATGTTAATACACGAAGGCATAATGGGAAACGTTGATATTTCTGAAGGGGCTATAAATTTTTCTTGATTGTTTTTAATTGCTCTAGCATAGATATCGTCAACATAGTGCCAGAAATTTACCTTTTACATACAAAAATTTTACATTAAATTAGATTATATCCACCTCTTTACGTCCGTGAGAGACGGGTGAACTTCCGTGCAACTGACGTTATGACCAGATTTACTAATCATTTTAATTGTACAAAACATCTGATTCGCGACACAAAATTAATTTTAAACTCCTTTTTACGCTCGCATAATGCTGCTTTAATGGTTATCTTTAAATCTTACAACCATTTAGAGCGCATTTACGGTATTTGTATAAGTTTATTTATAATATAGTTTACTTAGAAATCACTAACCAGACTTGGCTCATTTAGCTATTTGCCAATATATATTTTTTAATTAGTTAGATGTTAGGATTGAGCTCTTACTAATTGTGATTGACCTTTTCATCTTTTGTGGCTAATTTTCTCATATCATCTTGTTACCCACGTGATTTTTTAAATTTGAATACTAATGGCGAAAGCCACTTTTCTTTTTCGGGGTTCAAGCTTTTTGGTTTATGTATTTATAACATCTGCGAGACACCCTCTTTCATTTGTTTCAAATCAGGCGAAAGCAGAACAGCTCTAGTTTGCGTTAGTAATGGTTGTTCAGAGTAGTGTTTATAACAGAGAACGGCTGTAAAAGGAGCACAAAACAAATTCCAAAAAGTTCCTTACAAAAGATTGATCGTAAGAACAATTTTTTTTCAAATGATTAAGGTTTAAGTTTTGCCAACAACAAATTTGAAAATATAAAGCTCCTTTTATAAAAACATTATCAACGAAGTAGTTTTTAGAATATGATACAAAACAAAGTTCTGGTTTGCAATCTATTTTAAAATATTATGCTTTTTTCATAGGTAGACTCATACGTTAATATACAAAATGAAAATAAAAAGATGCAAAAGCCCAGAGTCTTTTCATCACTTTTTGTCCTTTAATCATAGGATGAATACCTTATAATGAGTAATTATTAATAATAGTAATCGGTCTGTAAGTACCATTGACGATAACTGAACTGAATGAATTTATGCAAATGACCACAATGTAGCTATATGTTGTTTTTTTAGTTGATGTTAAATTGATTGTAATTTTGCTTAACCGTGCGTGCACACACTTCATCAACTACTTTGCTTGCTGTACAGTAACTCATTATTTACATTCTTTAATTTTTTTTTTTAATTTTCTTATTGACCGTATCATGTTGACTATTTTTAAACAAACGTCGAATTTGTCGCTTATTTCCCCTTAATTTGACGAAAAAAATATCGAAAGACGAAAATCCTATCTGATGCAACTCAAAAGTCTTTCAATTTACATCGCCGATGCGAAAGGTAAAGCAAAAGTTACATAATTAATATTCTGTTTCTCTTTTGTAGTAAAAACACAATTAATTACTTGTAATAGTTCAACTTTATTTATTAGCGGTTTCTTGTTACTAACTGAACAGTTTCTAGTTATCTTCTGTTGTTTGCTTTTTTCTTACCTGCAACTTATAGTTGTATAACTATTTATTAAATTTGCTTTCTTACTTATTAATCGTGGGTTAATAAGATAAGTAAATGTCAAAACAATAGGCAAAACAAGCTTTTCAAAAAATTTTCGAAAAGTGCTTCTTCTATTGACTATTTTGCTTACTCAGTGGCAACGCATAGATTTAGTTTCCTCAACCACCAATATTATTGCAGATACCTTCAGTTTGCTAAATCCCCTTTTTTTGCTAATCCTTCGTAAGTTTCTTTTAATGGATCTGAGTCCTTGGATGATATTCAAACCTCAAATCTCTTTGCGAAATACGTCCGACAAAACTTTTCGACTGCTAATTTCGATTTATCAGCAAACTATCCATATCCGATTACTAATTTGGTTTCAATTCCTAATTTGGTTATTTCTGAAAATAAAGTTTTTGAAGAGTTGAGCTCTCCAAAATATAGTTGTGCATATGGACCTGATGGAATTCCATCATGTGTACTTATATTTTGTGCTGGCGAGCAATGCGATGTTATGTCAAAGATTTTTAACCAGTCCTTGAATTTAGGTGCTTTCACTGGAAGACTAGTTTCCTTACTCCTATTCACAAAGTGGAAGTAGACAATTTATACAGAACTATAGAGGCATTGCCAAGTTGAGTGTCTTGCCTAAATTGTTCGAGCGAATTGTGACTCAGCATTTGGCCTTTGCATTAATTCGTATATTTCTCCACACAAGCATGGCTTTCGGAAAGAAAGATCTACGGTCGCCAATTTGTTGGAATTTATTTGTAATGTTTTCAAAGCGTTTTCTAGTGGCTTTTGCACTGATGTAATATATACTGATTTAAGCAAAGCATTTGAGTTGGTTAACCATAACTTATTTATCTTTAAACTCCAAGTCTTTGGCTTTCCTTTCTATTTAGTAAAATGGACAGGCTCTTATCTGCACAATAGATAATTCAGTGTTTTGTTGAACTTCATCACCTCGGATGAATTCCTCGTGACGTCTGGCGTACCTCACGGCAGCCACTTAGGTCGCATTTTATTTAGTTTATACATTAATCATCACCCAACGGTGATTAATTACAGGCAGATCTTAATGTATGCTGATGATGTGAAACTGTTTTCTTGTTTCTCCGAAGAATCGTAATTACATCACCTTCACAGTGACTTGAATAATCTGGTTGCATGGTGCTCTTTGAATCTTCTGAAACTAAATCTAAACAAATGTAAGAAGATTTCTTTCTCAAGAAGAAGCCAAACATTACTCAGTACTTCATTGATTCTCACAAGTTGGAGGACGTCAATTAAATTTATATAACTGTGGTTCAAAACGCTCAAAATCACTCATGCCACTTAGGTTTTTGCTTATTTTATGCGCTTATAGTTCAATGAAGATTCTAGTTAAGATAGTTTAGTTAAAGTATACAATATCAATGCTACGGTCATGACATTTTATTTCAAAGGGAAATAAAATACCGAATGCAGAAATTTGGCATTTTCGATTAATTATTTACGACAAGGCTTAAATATGTCTTTTTCATAATATTTTTTCGGCCTTTCAATTCCTTCTCACTCTACTAACATTAATGCTATCTCATCTTTTGATCTTAACAAAATACCTAATTCAACTGTGTTTTATATAAATTCATATTCTCACGCTACTAATTTTGAAGAATTAATCTAGACACTATATATTGAATTAATATCACAGAGAGGGGGAGAGAGAGAATTTGTTTTCTTATTAAAAGATGTTAGTAGGGTTCAATTGTCGCGAGAATTCCTACAGAAAAACAAGTGCCAAATTTAAGTTAATGAAATATGATTAATTAAGTTGGGTTTCATTTTGATTAACTGGTTGCATAAGCCGATCATATTGTTTGTTCTCCAAAATGGTTTCGCAAACGCTTAAAAAGCGGTCTTTATTCATGGGATTTTATAATGTTTACGAAAATGTGGTCTTTATTTTTAAAAAAATTTAGTTTTCGTTGCTTTCATCTGTGGCTATAGACTAAGAATGCATTTACAACGTTTTATATGAGTTTCTGCTTCTATATATTGTTTATACCAAGTGTTATGGCATTAGCTAAAACCCGATGCATCTTGCATTTAAATGTAGTTTATTGCAAAATACCACTACATAGAGAACTTGTGCATTCTTAAAATATTACTAATAATAATTTTTAGTAGTGCTCGAAAATTCTCTTAATTCGAAATAGTTCTATTTTACATTCATTTTTCATTCAGGCACAATTAATAGAAATTTAAGTTTGTGGATGGAGTTTCTATTCACTTTCTGCTATCTACTGCACTTTTAAGTTTTATGCTGCAATAACAACAGCTGAAACCAAGCCCATTATGGTTCTGTAATAGTAAATCTGGCAGAGTAACTCATTGCGGATACAATTGCCTTTGTATGAATGCTTGGTTTTCAAATAAGTTCTAGTCAATTTGACTATAAAGTACATTAAGTTCGTAAGACTTTTGATACAATTGATAGGAAGACATACCTAAACTTATGTAAGGTTACGTTGAAGTAACTAAAAACGTTTTTAGTCGTATTCATATGGTCCGTATCCAAATTCTTGATGCTATATCCAGACGGGATGCTACGTCAATGAAATGTCTAGTCTTTGTAAAGTCATAGAGTTCAGCTCAATTTTCAAAAATTTAAATAAACTGCAATATAAAAAGAAGATTGATGTTATATATCAGGTACTCAACCCTTGCTTATCTTATGTTTGCCAGTCGTCGCTTGTACTATGTACATTCGATGTCCTCCTATCGTACGTACCTTTAGATCTCCTAATTGCAGTTCCCCTAATTTAGCAACACTATTACAATTAAATTAGAAATTATCTTTAAATTTATAAAGTCGAGTTTAGCAATTATACATTACATGGTTTTAAAGCGTAAAAAATTATAAAAATGTTTAAATTTATTTAGTTGTAATTTATATTTATCGCATTTTTCTGTGTGTTGATATAATTTTGGTTTTTGTGATTAGCAATTGATTTTCTCGTCAGAAAGCGTCTTTCTAGTTTCTTGCGTGTTGTTCCTTCCAAATATCTGGTTTGGTTCGCGGGGTTCACAGTTTTCTCTTTGTGCACTGTGTTTTTAATATCGTGAAGTTTGCTTGCTTACTAATTTAAGAGACCATTTTTAATGCGTGGCAAACTTTTCTGTTATTTCTTTCTTCACAAACTCTACTTTGTCTGTTGCTGATTGTTTAATAACATCATGTCGAGTCAAAGTAGGTGCTTATTCTGAGCGATCCATCAGTTATTGGCTTTGTTCTTAGGAATTTGGGTTTCGACCTGCTTGCCTCTCTGTCTCACCATCACTTGAGAAACGTAGATTTATTCTTGGTGCTATCTTTCTAATTAAGTAAATGTCGTTAGTATCTTAATAAAGCTAATTAAGTTAAAGTTCGGCCACGTTACTTAGTGAAATAAACGTTAATGTTCCTAACCGTTTCTCCAGTCACTTTATCTTTATTAAGCTTAGCCAACGTCATAGTTATGAGCTGTTTAATCCACTCCAGAAATGATGACTATCACTCATTCTCAATATCGGACTCTTTAAAGTCTGTCAAAATGCGTGTTTGCAATGGCTCAGGGGTTCATTTGCAACTTGGATCTGTGTCAGTTGTTAGTGTGCCTCTGTACTAAATAGGCACATGCTTTTTTCTTTCCTTTCTTATTTGTTTACATATGAATTATTAGTTTTTATTTGCTTTTGTATATATAAGTTAAAAGCGTTTAATAATAATTTTATATATTGATAATAACTAGTGCAAGATTTATTTCTAAGGGTCAATTCGATTCGTTTGCTAATGTTTAATGTGTACATAAATAAATAATTAAAAAGGCAGATAAAGGAATAAACATTAAGTTGCATGGATTATTCAATATTTAAAGCAGTATTGTGTTATTCTTACAACAGAGAAATACGAATGAATGGATGAATTCTAGTTCAATTAACATTCGATCATTAATTTTGCCACGTCTATACAAGGCTTTCTTATACAAGGTTGGTTTCTCAATTCAAGACTTTATTTCTAGCTGAAAAAGTTCGTGGTCATGTGGACGATCATCCGGAGGAACTTGCTTCTCTTAAAAAATTGGGTGATTTCACCTTCTGATTGGTGTGCTTTTTTTTCTCAGTTTGTTTTAAAATTGTAACAATCATTATATTTCTTTCCAAACAAAATCCTGCTAAAATTCTGCCTAGGCAGAACTGAATATGGTGGCATATATCGCTTGACTTGAATTTAGCGATATATAAGGATCTTTTATTATGAAGAATGGATTGCTGTACGACAAGCACGCGGCTTGATATCGTCCAGTGTAACCATTTCAGATCGTATATAACTTTGGCAGTTATATGGGTTGTGAAAAAGCTTGGCTTATTACTCGCATATTATCCTCTTTGTAACATTTCTTCGGATGATTTTACAAATATATTGCCATTCACATAAAATGATTTGAACCTTCAAAGTTTGCCAGATTCCACCTTATTACAATTTTCGTTTGTCCTGGTGTGCGGTCGAAAACTACATGTCTTATAAGCGATATTGCATTTTTAGGCCAACATAAACCCAGTTGTAGCACTAACTCAAGCAGATGGAAAACATCCGGCATGCCCAGATAAAGTCACAAGTGACTAAATTTTTTTTTTTTTTAAAGTTTTTGAGGTTTAATGCTTATTTGTCATAAGGCAAAGAAGACCGAATGTTTAAAGCTGTTTTGTACAATCCTCAAATGAATATAATTTCAAAGGTAAAAACGAACTTTTTCATTTGTTCTGAAAGACGTAGTGCACGTCAAATGGCTAGTAGAATTATAATTTCTTTAAGATCGTCGGTTACTGACCAAAAATCCTTAACTTGCGTTCGTAATTTGGTAACCTTTGTAGACTAAATCGTAAATCTAGTGTTAGTTGGTTAAAACAATACTTTTCAAATTTAACATTAGCTTGAGTGATGTTATCACAACTTTGTTTCGTCGAAAGGAACAATTTTCCAGTGCTTTGTTCTATTGTTTGTTTGCAAATCTTAAGAAGTTACTCCAAGAATAATAATAATAGTAATAATAATTATAATAATAATAATAATATTGATAATAATAATAATAATAAACTTCAAAATTATTGTATAGCATTTTATAAAAAAAAATTGTAACGATCACAAAATCTCGTGTTGGTGTACAGAATAAAGCACAATATGACACATGAATGTTGAGATGAATTGACTACACCCTGTCAATGTAAACCGAATTAGAAAAGTGAATAAAAGTCACAACGAGCTCTCGAGCCATGAGCCATAATTTTCAAGTAAGCTACACAGCTCTTGGCATGTCTGATGAAAACCCCACCAGCTATTCGATGCAATCGATGGCATCGTCCAATCGCGTCGCTCGCAATGTTAATTTCAACGAAGACCTTAACGATTCAGCTTATCCGACACTGTACGATCAATCCAGACGAACCTCAAAATTATTTTTTCAACGGCCACGTTCGATGTCGGCTTGGAGTGATATAAGTCGCAGTAGTATGCGTTTAGATGACAGGTAAATTTATTAACCGTTTTCAATGTATGTACAATTCTTATTGAGCTCCTTCCGATTTTTTTTCGTATTTTTTTTTGTATTAATCGCTGGATCCCAATATATTATTCGCAGTGTTTCTGAAATCATCTTATGTCTAACTCTCCTTGTATTTTCAAGCTTTTTCTATATAACAATATAAGGAACCTCATAGTATGGTACAGCGTTATTAACTGCTTCAGCAAAATGAAATCGTCGTTAGGAAAAACTACTAACTAGAGAAATGTGAGTTCTTAATACTTTGGGGAAATCCCGGCACCACTGCACGGATGTGTGTCATCTTACCATCTTTATTCATCAGATGTTCCTTTTTTCAATTTCATTGCTTGGTTTGTAGTCTTTTAGATATATGTCCTTTCATGTAGACTGGCAAAGAGACGAGTAGTTCTGCTCAGGGATTTGTAGTGATGGACATTTAATAAAACTACTTTTACTTTTCTCTTCTTTGCACACTATCCTTTTGAATTTTTTCGCTTTCTTTGATTTTTTTTCTCCATTAAAATTAGAATTTCTCGTTCAGTTCTCATTAATAAGAAGATTTTCCATTCTTGAAGAGAATTATAGTGTCTCGACGGGGAACCCCACAAAACAAGTAACGTTGTGTCCAAACGTTGCCGCCCAACTTTAAAGTTCTTTTATTTTACTACTTTGTCTTTCACAACAGTAGGAATATTTATTTACAATTATATTTCTTACATGTCGGATTATTTACAATTTATTTTGGCGGTGCTCTCAGCTCAAATGATCTTGCCCGACTAACTCTTCCTTCCACAAATACATTTTTTATATACATTTTTACAAGCACGTTACTATACCTAAATTTATGGTTGTATTTCTAATCCCAGCCTGCTTTTTCTCTAATCGTTTTCACCGGCTTGCTGCTGCATGAGGCGCCTGCGAATGCTTATTTGGTTTTTCCTTCTTTAGCAAATTTATTATTAGGGAAAATTACGTAGCTGAAATTAACTGGATTTGGGATTTTCGTAACAATATGTTTAAGTACTAAGAAAAGAAATTGGTGGAAAACAGTGTGTGAAGTTGCTCTGCGATAAACAGAAGTCAAAAATTAAATCTAAAATTAAAAAAATTTGTTATTTTTAGAAATGCCAATTTTTGCGTGATTGATGAGTAATTAAACAAATCGTGCAATTTTCATCCAACAAATCAGTCTTTTTGTTAACAACTAATATTTAAATCAACTTACCAAAAAGTTCTTTCCAAGAAGACGTTATTTTGAAGATATTGAAAAGAAAGCAAATGAGAAACATGAAAGTCCAAAAATTAATGTGTTTTCCTATTATAATTAATTTTTTATCTACCCTTCTGTTTTTCAAAAGATAAAAAAATTTGGTCTTTTGCTTATTACTCAGAAACTACAGTAAACGCATCAACAAACATTTAAATGTAAATTAAGTGTGCCTACGAAAATATTAAAAAAATTCCACGACTGCCGAATATCAAAATTTAAGATTTTTTGAATACTCTTATAACGCACAGAATCAAGCATCAAAATTCAATAAGGTACATAAATTGTTGGCTAGTTCGATATTTGGTATGGAATTCATCACGCCCGCCTGTTCGCCTATTCGTTTGTCCATTCATGTTAGTCCGTCCACCTATCCGTACGACTAGGTGGGACTAATCTGTGATACACATTCGCCCGTTCGAAAAAAGTAGATAACAGCTTTAAACTTGCAAAAGAGGTGGGAAATGATCCAAATAGATCATAGAACACGATTACAACACTCGAATGTCTATAAAGCCAAAATTTAAAACATCTTGGTTTTTTATGCCTTTTATTCGTTGCTCAGAAATTACAACGGCTGTACCATAACAATTTCAGCAAAATGGTTCTACAAAAATGGAAAAAATCCGTCACACCCACCCAATGGTATGGAGTATGCGAAATTTTGTTTTCCTTTTTTTTGAATCTTTAAGTGGCGGTGGGTACAAAATATTCGATTACAACCGTGATTATAATTCAAGAACGTGTGCACTAAACCCAACACATAATCGGAAATTTTTGGTATTTAACTTTAATATTTTAAATAATACCATAGAAAAGAAGAAGTGGTAGACGATTCATTACGTATATAAATTGCTCCTCTCTTAGGACTTTGGATTTTAAAGTTTCCAATGCGCAGCCTTTTTCGCTTTACGTCTTTATCATGGGCTAACAAGTCCAATTGTGGCAGCAATATAAAAAATAAACGTAAGCATTTATTTCGAGAAAGTTCCAGTGTACAAAATGGTTGCGTAAACCACTAATGGGTTTGACATCAGAGAGAAAAGTTTGGTAGTATCATATCACATGATTTTAGTAGATAGTTGTTACCACTAGTAGATAGTTGTTACCACTATTTGCTAAATTTTCCTTTGAATAAATTGTGTCACGAAACTTATTGCGTATACTTCACTGTTGATAAAATTATGTCTAAATTGAAATCATCCAATTCACTAATGATGTTGCTATAGGCCTCTCTGTTAGCTTTAGTTAATGTAACTCCCAAGAAAAATGCTGTCTTTAATTGGTGGGACGTGGCTGAAAGATGTTGTCTGATATAAACTGATATTGAATATGTTCATGGTGCTTTCTTAAGAAATGCGAATTTCTGTTTGGTTTTGCGTTCTATTACATTGTGTTGCCCTGCAAAGCTTACCTTTTGTGACTCACTTCTTTCCGCGAATTGGTTTTTGCATATCTTACTTGTCTTATGATGACCTATATCTGGTAGTAAAATTGGTCTGCTCACATTTGACTTTTTAAGTTTTAAATTAATTTTTGATAATATACTCATCATTTTAGCTCCGTTTAGTTGTTACACATTGTATATTCAATTTTTTTATACATATTTCATTTTCGTTTGGTTCTGCTGCTTTGTGGTTTTTTCATTGTATTGTGTACAGTGGCGAGAGGGCATTTTTCCAATTTACTGGCGCTGAGTTCTGCACTTCTGCAAAAAGTGAAGGAAAAAAAGCGTATCTTTTACTTCACTAAAAGATAAACCGTTCTGGACTCTGGTGCTGTTTAGGCCCCTACTCTGTGGGGATTGTCTAACTCGCCAGGGGGCGTAGTACGCTTAAAGTGGCTTGGGCCACCGTGGGGTTAAGCCTTTCGGGCAGGAACCCACTTTAAACTCTTGCCACAAATTCACTAAAAGATATTGTTAAAAATTAACCTACCATGTCGTGACGTTCACCACAATTAATTAAGAATTAACTCAAATAGCTGTTCTCCAAGCTTTCTTATATGTTCCGTCCTCAATGTTACTCCTTCATATTTCAATTGTCAGTTTTGGTTTCAACGGTTTAAAAGTAAGGATTTTTATGTCATTGACAAAAAACGTTCTGGGGATCAAACAAGTTTAAGGACCATGAGTTGCAAGACTTATTAGCCGAAAACCCAGCTCCAATTCTCGAAGAACTTTCGAACTGTTTAGCAGTTAACGAATCAACTGTTTCTAAACGTTTACAAGGGAACGATATTTATTGAAAGTGCTGTTTCTAGCCTTTTCAACAGGGCAGTGTCATTGCGAGCCAGGCAAAAGAAGAAGAATTCTCGGTGTCGTGTTATGACTAACGATGGAAAGTGGATCGCGACGGTCACAAGTGCAAAAAGGCATGGGTTAGTCCAGGAGAACCATCCATATCGACACCGAAGCAATATTAATGGCAACAAGGTTTTGCTATGGATATGGTGGGATTAGCAAGGCGTAGTGCATTACGAGGTGCTAAAACCGAATGAAACTGTTAATGTATATTTTTGTCGACGTTAATTAAATAAATCAAACGGTATATTGCTGCAAAAAAAACACTAATAGTGGCTAAAACGGCTACTTCACGAATTGACTCAAATGCCATTTTGGCCACTTGTTGGAATTGTTCTCAACTATACACTGTTGCAGCACGATGCAGAAAGGCCTGTCTCACCCCGTGTACTCACGAGACATGATGCTACCTAGTTACCGCTTGTTCAGATCGACGCAGCATGGCTTGGCTGGATACGCAAAAATAGGTTCTTACGACATGATATAGCTATATTGCTAGATATATCTTTTAGAAAATGATTGAAAAATTTGGTTAATATTTCCTGCACCTTTCTCAATAAATGCCTGTTCCAAATGATAAAATGGCCAAAACTTCCGCAAGCACTTAATTTGCATTGGAAATAACGCATTTATAATATAATAACAATATAACGTCATTTTACGAATGTACAAAATTATTTTAAACATTCTGCTTCATTTACAAAGAAAAGAAAATCTAGTCATTTGTAACTTTGTGTAGTCACGACCGATTCTCCCATTTTTGCACCTAAATATTGCAAAATTTGAGCTTTATAATTTATGAGTAAAGAGCAAATATCGTCCACGTGTCTGTCAGCAATACACTCCACACAGACAAACAAAGGGATCAGGAACATATATATTTTATAGGATTTCTGAAGCTTCCTTTTGGGTGCTGCAAATATTATGACAAAATGTGTATTAATTTATTTATTTATTTATTATAATTATTTGCTCAGAGAGAGACGCAGTGAAAAAAAAAATTCGTAAATAAATAATAAGAAAGAAAAAAGCATGTACACAACAGAGGTACACCCACAACCGGCACAGATCCAAGTTGCAAGTGAACCCCTAAGCTATTTCAAACATACAAAAGCTTGGCAACCGATATCAGTAAACAAAATCAGTTAATTTTCGAATCATAGTGATAGTAAGTCAGTTTAAAAACGACATAGGCAACTCGCGCGTATTTAAGATAGTTGTTTTGATAGACTTTAAATAGTCCGATATTGAGATTAAATGATAGATATAATTTTTTTCTGCAAACAACTCTGAACGGATTCAGCAGTTCGTAAGTATTTACATTGACTAAGCTTAATGAAGAGAAAGTGCCTAGAGAAGCGATTAGAAACGTTAAAGTTTATCTCACCAATCGATAGTATTATTTTTCAATTTAATTAAGAAGGAAAAAACCTATTTTCAAAAGAAGGCAGAGAGGCAAGTGGGCCTCTTTCTCAATGAATAAGGAAAAACAGCGAGAATTGCTTTTGAATGGATTCAATGGAATCTACATAACACTTTTAAGAAGGAGACCACAACAGAGACGTACTCAAGTATTGGTCTAACTCAGCAAATGTGTAGCCTTTTTGCTATGTAAGAATCGTTAAACTCTTTGGAGTACCTCTTATACGCCTCATCCGTTAGTGGTGTGTAGCCTTTTTGCTATGTAAGAATCGTTAAACTCTTTGGAGTACCTCTTATACGCCTCATCCGTTAGTGGTGGGTATAATAAATAAGAACTCAGAGATAGAGTAAAATAAAATAAAAGATAAAATTGTCTAACACAATTCTTATTTTTGTACGAAATTACTTTTATGGGTCAATTTTCATCACCACATAACAAAACTTAGACTTTTCTGCTCTACCATTAATTTTCGTGAAAATCCTTATTAGCCCTCCTCCTTCCATCCTCCATAGCTGGTCGAAGCCCATATCCGTTTTTCATATTTGGAATAACTTTGATTTGCTACAACCAGTAAAGAAGATTTTATATTTTCCAACTTTTTAAAATGTAAAAGCAGTTTCTCTCCCTGCAATAAAACGCGCCTGCGTCTATATTCTGAGCGCTATCTTTATGTGATAAACCTTATCATCACTGTCAATAACAGTTATGAAATTTAACAGATACCAGTAACATTGATTGATATGTCCACAAGGTTATAAAAGAAGCCTAAGGAAATTAATCTTGCGACGATTCGCCTGTTTTATCCTTTGGTATCATGCCCATCTAGTAGTATATTATACATTGCAGTCATTTTTTAATTGTCCAAATGCAAGTTTGCCATGTCTAATGATTTTTGCAGGCAATGCTTTTTGCATGATTCAAAGCAACTACTAAGCCAAAAAAAAAACCTCTTTGAAAGATTTGCAGTGGTCTAAGTATAGAAAATCTGTGAATATTCCAATACTTGACAATTGAAGGATTTTTCTCGATCATGTACCACCAAATAGAAGAAAAGTAGCATTATATGCAATACTGAAAATATAGTACTTAAAATAGTACATGATCCAAAACTTTGTCGGATTTCTTTAAAGATGAAATTAAATCATTAATAAGTAGGCATTGTCCAATTATTTAGACAAAAAATCAAAAAAGCCATTTGTACTTTCACCAAAAAAAGGGGGCAGCAACGACACGTTATTGTCTATATACTTACTTAAATAGAATAGTCTTTTTCTTTATGAAACCTCACATTGAAAATGTATGAAAGAATGGCAATTGATAAAATATCTAACTTCTGCGATAACGTTTTCGCGATTACGTCTTCCATTGTACGAACTACAAACATGTTTTTGAAGAATAGCTATTGGCGGTCCTAATAAAACGGAAAATGTGAAATGAAACCTGTTTATAATATTTGACTTAAACACTACAATTTATTCTCCGCGTTTGACGCGTTGCATATTTTTGTCATTCAAATTTTTTAATCATTTTATTAATAGTACATTGAAGTATTTGTATTTATTGCACGTTTGTATTTCTTTGCAGGTGAGTGCTATGAAAAGATTTCACATTCTTAAACCTCTTCAAAGGTGAGGGGATTGTTTACAAGCACAATTAGCGAAAGGTAAGAGAAAGGTAAGAGGTTTAGTTCCTTAATTTGTGAAAAAGAGCAAAATTGCTTAAATTTTATTATAGTAAATGCCATCTTTGCAGTTGACGCCACTGGAGGCATGAAGCCGAGTCGCCTTAATTGTCCCTGTTTCGTGTCACATACCCTACTCAAACTGTTTCTGTGTACAAATATTTGGTGTATTTACAATGCAGTGTCATTTTCATTCCGTTTGTACCTCTTCCTTAATGTTGTATAGGAATGCTGTTTTATGTAAATGTCCGGAACAACACCGAGTTTCTCGTCATTCTAAGTTAATTAATCGCGAACTTTCAACGATAAAAGCGTCTGCGAATAAAAAGAGACAAGCTTTTTAACGTATTTGTAAGCGCATTTTTTATAAGTATTAAAATCTAAATACTGTAGTTTCAAAGGGACCAAAATCGATCTTTTGTGATTCAAAGTTAGTGACTTATTACGACATTAAGACATAATGCTTGGTTATGAGCAAGAAATGGTAGATCATTCTTCTCACTCTTTCTTACGTCTTTTCCTCAAGTAGAAGTTGATCATTTGGTAAATATGTGTGAATTATTGGGCCATTTATGGTATCGGATTGCTAAAAACTGTGGTCCAGCAAACTGTATCCAATTAATTAATTCAGACTTGCTAAAACTTCATGAAACCAAATTATGACTTTTCTGTGTACAGTTATCGAGGAAATATGTGCAACGCAGAAAGAGGAGTTGTATGTACATCTAAATCGATTTAAGAAATTTACACGTTAAAATTTGGCAATGGGCAAATAAGCCATAATAAGCCATAATTGTGTTAAAGAATGCATAGTCCACCCGCGCAAGTCGTGACTTTGCTAAACTTGGCATTTTTCCAACTTCATGGAATAATCTATTGATGCGTCTTGCCCGGCTTTCGCTTAAGCGCAGTAAATTTCTTTTTATTTGTCATCATTCGATTTCGATTAGTTGAGGGATTGACTCGTCCCAATTTAATTTAAGTAACTACAGTTCTTGTAACAAAATTTTAACAACAGATTGAACAACTAGGACCTAGTGGATCGAACACTCCCTATAACTGATGAAATATTTAGTTCAGTAACAAATATATTCGTCATTTTATTCAGAAAGTGAAATACACAACCCAATGGGGAATGCAATTACTTTAAACTTTGAATTTTTTGAATTTATATATTTATTTACATTTAAATGAAAAGAAGTAAATAGGCACTTATGTAACAAATGGAAATATATACAAAAAATATATTGACATAACTGCAGAATTAATTAAAAGTTGTGAAAGTCTTGTGGGGACTTAATCTTTTTACATTACGAAAACCACTAAGAGCAAAAAGGAAGGCTTATACGCTCCTAGGAGGGAGGTAGCCGGCACAGCCGGCAATATCAACTTAAAGTGAACCTCTAAGTCGATGCAAAGGTTGGCGACCGACAAAAATGAGTTAAAAGTTAATTTGAAAATGACGTAGGCAAGAAGCGAGTATTAAGAAGAATTGACAAAGAGATTAAATTTCATGTATCATTTAGACTCCTTCAAAGGACCCTAAATAAAATTTTTTAGAGAGTCATGTTGATCACCTGAATTATGTGACTTCGACAGCTACATTCCATGAGTTGCATTTTAAAAAGATTTCATTTCATTTTATTGTATTATTATTACATAAATATCTAACATAATTAGATCATAATAGATCATAACTACATACATTAACACAAGTATACATAGTTAGTTCGCTAATGCTTTCTATATGTATCCAAATTTAATTTATTAACTATGAACCGAAGTTATTTAAGATATTTATTTATTTTATTTATTTATGTGATTTATTTATACATAGGATTGAACTAAGAGAATTACAATCGAATTCAGTGTATCGTAATAAAAAATCTCATATGGTTTTAAAACTAGTATACAGTAAAAACGAAGAAAAAAAGAAGGATAATAATGACAAAGTAAGTTTAAAATAAAATTAAAAAGTTAAAAATAATAACTCATTTATAAATAAATAAAAAGAAAGAAAAAAAGAAAAAAACATGTGCGCAGCTAGACGCATAGACGCCCGCCACATGAACAGATCCAGGTTCCAGAACTCCTAAACCATCGCAAACATGCATAAGCTTGGTAACCAACACCTTAGCAAGACAATATTATTTTAAATAAAAAATTAGATATTAAGATTAAAATGTTAGTTTAAGTACGACATAGGTAAATCGCACATATTAAGCAAAGTTGCTTTAATGGCTTTGAAGAGTGTGATAATGAGAACAAGTGATTGACATCATTTAGGTTTCTGCAAACAACTCTTAGTGGGTTAAACAGCTCATAATTGTATTTACATTGACTAAGCTTAATAATAGAAGCAACCTACTTTCATGGGGGGGGAAGAGAGGCAATCTGGTCCCAACCCAAATTCTAAGGGCAAACAGCAAGAAATGCATTTAACCAGATTCAATTGAATCTACATAGCACCTATACGAAGATGACCACACAACGGAGGCATATTTAAGTAAAAGTCTAACCGAACACATGTGCAGCCTTTTAGTAATGTAAGGATCATCGAGCTCTTTGGACCACCTCTTTATAAAACCAAGCGCGGGCCTAGGTTTGCTTCACGAGAGCTCAATGTGCAAGTTAAAACGTAACCCATGGTCAAATAGAACGCCTCAATCTGTGAACGAATCGATGTCCTCCTTGTACGAATCTTGAGAAGGAAAGCCTCTTACATTTATTTAGATTTAGTAGATTCAAAGAGCACCATGCAACCAAATTATTCAAGTCTCTTTGAAACTGATGTGATCGCGATTCTACGGAGAAAGAAGAAAACAGTTTCACATCATCAGCATACATTAAGATCTGTCTGGAATTCATCACCGACGCCAAATCATTAATGTATAAATCCCAAGTGGAATTCAGCCGAGGTAATGAAATTAAACCAAACCCCAAATGATCTCTTGTGCAGATACGACCTTATCCATTTCACTAAATAGAAACCAGAGGCTTGGAGTTCAAAGATAAGTAGTTTATGGTTAACCAAATAAAACGCTTTGCTAAAATGAGTGTATATGACATCAGTGCGAAAGCCACTAGGAAAAGCCTTGAAAACATGACAAGTAAACTCTAACAAATTGGTGACCGTAGATCTTCCTTTCCGAAAGCCATTCTGTTGTGGAGAAATATACGAATAAATGACAAAAGCCAAATGCTGAGTCACAATTCGCTCGAACAATTTAGGCAAGACACTCAACTTGGCAATGCCTCTATAGTTCTGTATAAATTGTCTACTTCCACTTTGTGAAAAGGAAGAAGAAAAGTAAGTACTCTTCCAACACAAAGGGAAAACACCTAAATTAAAGGATTGGTTAAAAATCTTTGAGAAAACGCCACATAACACGACAGCGCAATATTTAAGTTCAAATGATGGTATCTCATCAAGTCCAAGCGCGCAACTACATTTTAGAGAGCTCAACTCTTTAAAAACTCTTTAAAAATATGGGTAGTTTACGGACAAAGCGGAATTAGCAGTAGAAAATTTTTGTCGGAAGCATTCAGCGAAAAGATTTGAGATTTCAAAATCATCCCAGGCATCAGAGCCATTAAAAGCAACATGCGATGGATTTATGGAGATTTTTCTTCTGGAATTAACGAACTTAAAAATGTACTTAGGATTAGAAAACAGATATTGCAATAATATTGGAGGTTGAGGGAGTTAAATCTACGCCTTGCCGTCGAGTAAGCGAAATAGTCGAAAACAAAGCCACTTTTTTAAAAATTTTTTGAAAAGCGTGTTTTTTCTATTCTTATAATATTTAATTGTCTTATTAAACCAAGGGGTACACCCGCCTCAAGGTCGAGACTGCTTGACCGGAACAGATGCAGAAATCGCTAGATTTATTATATTGTAAGCTTTGAATACCTGAAAAATCAAGCATAATATGTGAAAGATGTGATTTCAGCATTGAAACGTTTTTTTTTTGTGGAAATCATAAAATTTATTTGAAAATGTTGAATTGGGAACGTTGCAGAAGTTCAACGAACCATCATGTTTGTAATGAAAGGAAATACCCAATGCTAGATGATAAGCATTCTCAGGTGAACTAAAAGTAAGTCAACGATTAACACAAATCTCGGGAAAATTGGCAAAGCAAAGATCAAGTAGTCTACCATTGCAACTGGTGTTACGGTTGTATTGGACTAAATTATGATCGAATAATTCACTAAAGAACACAACAGCTCTATCAGATATTGAAGTAGGAATCAAACAGCCAGAACTATTACTGTAAGACCAAGTGACTTGAGGCAAATTGAAGTCACCCAACGCAATGACTATATCGGTAGATTTAAATTCGCTGATGAGGGTGGACTGTTTCTTATATATGGAGATATCCGAATTTGGGGGAATATAGGAGCAGGTCACATGTAAGTATTTATTAGGAAATTTCGCTCGAAAGACGGTAAATTCAACGTCGGTAGTAGTGCGAAATTCAATTGAATAGGAGGAGACATCAGCAGCAGACATCACCACTAACGCGATTTAATCAGTCATTTCTGAAAAGCTAGAGAAATTAGTGAAAAGTTCCAACGAATATAGTTTAGAAAACCTCCGCGGAAAGTGGACTACATTTATGAATTTAGGACCCTAACATATCTTAAATAAAAGCTACTATGTCTGAAGAAACTTTCAGTGTTTTGAAGATGGAATAACTATCGATTTAGTATTACGGGGTTGATCCCGAGGAATAAATTCCTATATTAAGAATTCAACTGACCACAATGGTTTGTTTGACAAAATTCCCATGTTTTCAGTCGGAAATAGCACCTTAAAGCACGACATAGCTGTATGTAACGAATCGTTCAGAATCAGGGCCTGTTCGACATAATGTATACATACCATATGTGGATAAGTCCATGTGAGAATGCAACAGAAATAGAATTTGTGAAGAAAGGAAAGAAGAAAAGTTTGTCACTTATTCAAAAATAATCAAAATGGCCATCAATACAAAACTAAAATTCAATAAATTTAAACATTTTTATAATATAAAAGCGTATAAAGCAATAAAGCAAAAAATACAAAGAGGAAAGGGTGAAAGTTTTAGACATAAGGTAAAATAGTAAGACCACAGACTCTGGAATTCGAGTCAGCTACTTAATTCAAGGTTATGTGCTGTATGGTTGTCTCTATTGTGTGTTTGGATAAGCGTTCCTGTGGCATATGATGTGTGCTGACGACCAGTGCAATATTGTTTACACAAACGTTCACACACAAAATTTGTAGAGGGACCGGCTTCAAAAAGACAGCTTTGAAAGGTATTAGACCGACGCTTTTGAAATGTAACCGTTTCTATTCGATTACCTATGTGTACATGGCATGGTACAGCTGTTGGGACTTGAATTGTTGACCCATTGTCTGGGATGACTTCTACTTCAATGGGTAACCCACCAAGTGATAAGTTAAGTGAAATGTGATAAAAAAGCTGGTTTCACCCGTCTCGATGGTGGAAGTCGTTATTTTTCCCCCTGTAACGGGGGTAATCGTGAGCTTATTGGCGTCGCAAATTCACGTTAGGCGTTTGAAGGAGGGATTGGATATTCGGGACGCGCTGCCTCTCTGTTCAATCGGGTTCCGTAGGAGTTTTCAGGCTGTGAATGATGGTTTGGCTCTCTTGCAAATCTCCTTTGACTACCGTTCGTATGATGACGGCAATCTTTTCTCCGGTTATTAGTTTCACGTCTGGAAAATAACTTCTAATATATATCATTTAGTTTTGTTCACAAAGAGATGTACTGGCATTTGATGCAGGTATATCCTCGTGATCGTCTGCTTGTTCGAGAAGTTCTTTAAGTGAATTAAAATCTCGTTGACTTATATACTACATGTAATCAGGAAATGCTTTCAGCAAAATTCCTTATAATTTTTGTCTTCCATTCATCTTATAATGCCACATTAGGTGCTGTACAGCCAGGGCATAATCTTTAAAAGTTTCATTGGTTCACTCGGTACGAGCATACTTCATCTTCCAATCCTGCTAACGAGGCAGCAGGAAGAATTTTAGGAAATTGATTTTAAAGGTACCCCAGGAAGTCCATTGTTTATTGCCGTGTTGATATGAAGTCAGTAAGTATTTCGGGCTTGGTACTCGATAGTGCTCAGGGATTAATTCCCTGAAACTCTGGCAGTTGTTCTATTCTCTCAATGAACGCAAACGTGTCTTGTCTTCCATCACATTTAATATTCCACTTGCGCATATTTCCATGATGGAGCACTTTTCATCGGTTGATAGTGGAGTTTCTGCAAGATTAATCACTTTTAATGTCGGCGCTGCTTTCGTGCTCATGTTTCCGCTGGTTCCGCTTCCAGTGTTTTGAGACTTTGGTGGCTCACATGTGGCTTGTAACTTTAGAAGCCGACCAATTCTTCGTTCGTGTGTTCAGTGGTAATGAGCTGAAACAATCTTCTTCGTAGCTCTTCCACACAATCTCTGATTTACTGATTAAATTCCGGGAGATGCGTAGTTAACTCGTAGTTGCGGAGAGTGTAAGCTCTCCAACATTTTTGTTATATTAATTTTTTTATTAAATCTGTTGTTTGCTTGCTTGGTTGCTTTCGAGGGAACTATTAGTAATTTATGGTACTCAGTTAAATTCGGAAAGTATATTCTTGAATATTCTATATTGGCTATATTCTATATTTTCAATACATTTAGCGATGGCTAAGACAATGCTTATTTTTAATAAATTTAGCGACGGCTAAGACAGTGGTCAGAAAACTTTCTTCGGCGATGTGTCCCTTAAAGTTTCTCGAGATTAAATGGATTGTATAATATTTTTCTAGATAGCAGAATGAGAAAAATGAGAAGAAAAATCGGATTCTGTTATGACTGGTGTATTCAACGCAGTTTAGGTTTATATGCCTTTTTTGATGTAACTAGGAAGAAATAATAACTGTTTCCTTTTTCATTTTTCCAATAGTTTCT